CAGCCCTCAGGGTTAATTTGTCAATTTTACATTCCTGGGAAGTTTGTACATACACTTAATTTGATACTGCTTGCTAAAACCTAAGGTACCTAGAATAGCTAATGTGGACGTGCTATTATCAAAACAATATATATATATATATATATATATATATGTATATGGATATGTATATGGATATGTATATGGATATGTATATGGATATGTATATGGATATGTATATGCAGGTTTACAATTATAACATAAAATAAGTAATTAAAATTATCAGAGTGCCATGGATGAAAGGATAATAAAAATCAAGTTTAAAACTTAGAAAAAACTAAAAAAAACCGGAATGTTGATCATGAACTAAATTCANATATGTATATGGATATGTATATGGATATGTATATGGATATGTATATGGATATGTATATGGATATGTATATGCAGGTTTACAATTATAACATAAAATAAGTAATTAAAATTATCAGAGTGCCATGGATGAAAGGATAATAAAAATCAAGTTTAAAACTTAGAAAAAACTAAAAAAAACCGGAATGTTGATCATGAACTAAATTCAGTAATATTTAACATTTAGGAGATCCTTGTTGTTATCTGTGATGTTCCTTTCATAAAACTAACTTTCTGTACTGCTATTTTGTTGCTAGATGTTCTCAGAGTCCTCTTGTCAAGCTGTTATTTGTCATATTCAACTTTCCAGGTTGTAATGAAAAGACTGTTCAATAAAAAGACGAACACCATATCTGTAATAGACGCGAACGATCATACAACAGATTTCCTACTGCGGCGGGGGAGCTGGGACGTTCTAAACACCACGGATCCTGATGGCTTTGTTTATCAGAACATTTACGATGACAAAGACAAAATGATCAAGTTCAAATACCCTGATGGCGAGACCGAACTCACTGATTATGATAGCTTTGGCCGGCTGGTAAAGTTTACTGGTAGAGCTGGCAAGGAAGTCAAGTTCGAGTATGATGAAAAAGACAGAATTGTAAGTTTGCCTTAAGGTTATTAGTCAGACAGATCATATTAAACCCAACCTGAAAATAACAGTTTTACAAGTAAGAAATCACAAAAGAGGTAGCAATAAACGAGCTAAAGGGAACAAAGGAAAGTAAAGAATGGGCCTGACGGAATATGCACGGCAAACTTGAAAATTTAGGCTACAATTTTTAAGAGGTCTAGTTTGTGAGTGTCGATGGGTCTCTTTTAATTTGGATAAGTACAAAGACAACCTAGTTTCCGATGGAGGAAGAAGACACTTTTAGTCAGTCAATTTATTCCTTCTTCTCGTTGAACAATTAACAAGAAATTTTGGCTTCGTATGCGATGGTGTGTACATTTGGATAGCAGTGTACATACTCATCAGGAAAAACTTGTTGTTTTTAAGTACTGTTAGTGGAAGATGGAAAAATGGGATTACTGTATTATCGCTTGAGATGGACAGTGGATAGAGCTGACCGGAATTTCTTGATTTTCTCTTTAACTTACCCTATCCTTAGCGCGTCTCACAATTAGTTTTATTTAATTGAAAAAAAATTAAGTGAGCCATGTACCGAATAACATTTAATCCGGTCTCTGCATGTGGACCTCTTTACTTTTTTCAGGAACAAGTCCTTACTAGACATCAACTATACGCACTTATCCTTAGCACATAAAAAAAGCTCTTTTCCTTACTGATGATGGCCTTATCTTCATGCTGTTTCCTAGGTCAAGAAAGATGTCGATGGTCTTGGCTCTTCGTATTTTCTTCGTGATGACGACGGAAACATCATTCAAGCAACAAACGATATTGGAGAAATAAACATTGTTTTCGACAAAGGAAACAGACCTTCGATTGTCACTTATCCTAACGGTCAGCGACTCACTTACAAATTCAATAATTTCCAACGTCGCGTGGCTCTGAATGTCGCTGGTTTGAGCCTGGTTTACAAGTATGACCGGTTTTACCGGTTATCGGAAGTCGTGCGAGTGGACCCCAGTGGTAGAGGTGATATCCTATTGAAGTTAGAGTACAACTCACAAGGAATGTTATCTAGACGGGTCCTTGGAAATGGAGCATTTTCCGAGTACGTTTTAGATCCAGCTAGCTTCAAACTGTCGCGAATGATAAATTATTTCCCAAATGGAAGCATTTCTTCCTATTTTAAATACAACTATGATAGAAAAGGGCGTATCATTCAATTAAATACGACCTCAGGGAGCTGGTATTATAAGTATGATGCTGCTTCGCAGCTCATAG